AAATGATTTAACTAACTCGAACAGTTTACAAATTATCAATAATTTACAATTAAATTTTTTCGATTTTTAGAATAGTTAAAGAATTAGATCAAAAAGTACCCAATGCAGCCATATTTACAATTAATAAAGAAGATCACACATTAGGTAATATGATTCGAGATCAACTTTTGAAAGATCCTAATGTTTTATTTGCCGGTTACAAGGTAAACCTCAGTGCCATTTTTTGTCTATAAAATTTTTCTATAAATAATTCATTTTGTTAGTTAATAAAAAGAAAAAAATTTTTTACTTACAGGTTCCCCACCCTTTAGAACACAAATTTGTTTTGAGAATACAAACAACATCGGATTACACTCCACAAGATGCACTAATGAATGCCATAACTGATTTATTATCTGAATTATCATTATTCGAAGAAAGATTTAAAGAAGCCATTAAAGAAAAGAAAGAAGGACTTGACTGAACACATTTTTTTAATATTTTTGAAAGTGAAATTTAAAAAAAAATTTTGAAAGGAAATGGTGTTAACGACCGGTCATAATCATTTTTTGTAAAATGGATACATTCAGTTGATTATCGAAATAATTTTTTACTGATTTTTACATAAGGTACAGTTAAATAAAACTACAGTTTCAAATCGAATAGTTTTCATTGTTAATTACAAAATTAATAATTATATTTTTCATTGTATTATATTAGTACTCTGATCTCTAAACAAAAACATTTATATAAAGTTTTATAAATAAAAAATACTTCATGAGCGATTTTAAATAATTCGATTAATGTTTTGGAGATATTATGTATTATATATATATTGAACCTTATATTTATAATAAACTACTGTACTTTTAAGTGTTAGTAAAATATTTTTTCTAGTTATTTATATTATGAGAAATATTATGTGCTGAATACACAAAATACCAAGTGTTCAACTTCATAAAAAAAAAAAAAAAAAAAAAAAAAAAAGAAAGTTGATGTTAAAAATTTTAGTATGACCCAGTTTTTTTGTTGAGTGAACCTTGATTTACGCCCAAATCACAAAAAACGTTAAATCAATTGTGTCACGCGTGTACCAAATGCGTAGAAAAAAATTAAAACAAATAATTTTAATAAATAAAACTATAATATCCAGTTAATATAATAAAATAAATGTGATGGAATTTTATGTAGAAAAAAAAAAAAAAAAATTCCTATTTAAAAAAAAAATTTAATTATTTTTTTTTTTTTCTTCACACTCAATTTATACGCACAATTATTATTATTATATTTGTTTTTTTTTTTTTTTTTTTACACTCCCTGAATTATTAGTCAATTAATTTATAGTAAATATATATTTTTACAATTAACTTTACAATGGTAATAAAAAAAAAAAAAAAAATTCTAAATTAATTTAAAATAAAAAATGGAAAAAATTAAAAAAATTATACATAAAAATGTCGCCGAAAATGATTGTCGGATGTTACATAAATTGTTTTTAAAAAATTTTTAACAATAATTTCAATATAACGTGGCAGTAATTTGTTTATAATAATAAATAATAAAAC